TTTTTTTGTTCTGGTGGAACCAGGGATTGAACTCAGGTCCTTGCACTTGCCAGGGAAGCACTTACTTTACTGAGCCATCTCCCTGGCCCTCCTTGGCCCCTTGACTTGACAGAGTCCACTTATATTTTTCTGCACTGAGGGAAAATGCCATTACTTTATTTATTTATTTTGTATTTTAGGGAAGGGTCTACAGGGTGTTCAGGGTTTCATTACTAGATCGGACTCATAGTGATCTGCCTGCTTACAGCCTCCTGGGATTATAGGCACACGCCACCATGTCCAGTCTCAACTGCCCTCTTAGGGCACCCCAGGGCTGGGGCCGGCACAGCAGGCCCAGGGATTGAACCCCGGCCCCTGTGCCTGCTTGCAGGTGCTTTAATCCACTGAGATATTTGGCTGGCCCTCATTTTCTTAAGTAGATATTCCTAAAGCTGTCATAAGATTCTCACGCATAGTGATAACTATGGTATAAGCTCAGTTAGTCCCATGTGCAGAAGTACTAATTTTTTAACTCAAGTTCCACATTATTGAAAATTCTGAAGTGAATTACTAAAGTGTTTGGGGAACTTTGTGGTGATTATTTTGGGTTAGAGAGCAATATTTGAATGCTAGATTGAGAGACACTGTGTCTCTGTTCTTAGGTAATTTTTTCCCCTTGTTTTTGTAGTCCCACCCTTTTGAAACCCTGAAAATAGAAGTTGTTTTCCAAATTTTTCACATCTCTAGCCTTCCAGCTTCCTCAGGATGCTCACACAGCAGAGAAACACCTGCTCCTTTGGCGTGTAACTCTAGCTGCAGTTTGCACGGGCGCTGTGCTGGGTACCACGGCCACGGAGCCCTCTGTGCCAAGACCACAGCCCAGGGGCACTACTCACGGCTGTAGTTCTGGGCGCACAGTGAGTAAAGCAGGGAAGTCAGTCTGGTTTTGCTTATTGCTACACCAGGGGACACGCCAGTGTGCAAGGCTGGAACCTTCACCTTCCACATCCAAGAGGGCTAGCTGATACTTGTTCTTGTTATGCTTCTTCCTTAACAGGTGCATGCACTGTAAACGTGCTAACTGACACAGGACAGGCAAAAGCTAAGAGGAATTTTCCAGGTTTGTTACCTGCAAATCAGGATTCTGCCCTTCTGTTTCTCCAGCTTACGATCTAAACCTGATGCCTTCTCTTGTTTCCTGCTCAGACCTTGGCCTTGCTCCATACCTGCACATTTACATTCCATACAAAAAAGTTTAACTCTGATATGAAACTTCACATGCTACACTGTAGTTGCTGAATTTCCATCCTTCCCTTTTCTGAGTGCTCTATAAACTCTCCCCTTGTACTCCTGGCGGATGGAAAAGTAAAAAATTCCAATCTAAAAGTGAGCACAAGTAGGATCTGATGCCGCGGTCAGGGCTCACCGTACAGTGTGCCTTGGTGCCAGAGCTAGCTGCGCAGGACAACGGACGCGAGCACGGAGCTTCACGTCACTACATCCAGATGAATCCTAAAACATCTTTGGTCAAATCTAAGATCACTTTACCTCAATGGTTTTCTGCTGATCTATTCCAAGGCTGTGCATGAGTCGCAGAACCTGCTCATTAAATTCCCCAATGGAGGGCTCATTTTCTTGCTCTTGTGGATAGAGAATAGGTCTCTGTACAGGAACTTCTATGAGCATCCACTTATGCTCCTTTATCTGAGCTACGGTTAGCCGTTTAGATGGGTCCAGGACCAACATTCTCCGAATGAGGTGCTCACAATCTACAGAAAGCACAACGTTACAGAAGTCACACAATCATTTTGTACTTTAGGTTTATCTGCTTGACTCATGTGATTTTGTACAATGATGTTAATCTTTTTTTTTTTTTTTTCTGTACGTAGGACAGGGTCTATAGGGACTCACTATGTAGATGGGACTCATAATGATTCTCCTGTTTTCAGCCTCCCAAGTGTTGGGATTACAGGCATGCCCAGTCTTAATCTTAGTCTCAGTGTGCCCTGTGGGCAGGGCTGGCACAGCATGCTAGGGATCAGACCCTGGCCGCTGTGCTCTGCCTAAGCAGGTGCTTTAGTCCACTGAGCTATCAGGCCAGCCCAATGATGTTAATCTTTGTATTTCTCATTGAAAAGTAGAAAGCCAAATGAATGAATAAATAAATAAAAAAGATACGTTCATGTGTCAACTTCACAAGCATTCTTAAAAAGAAAAGGTGATCTGGTTAAATGAGCTTTTCTACTGAAATTTTGAACCAAGATTATCTAGCCATGGGCTTAGATTTCCATTAATGAAAAAAAATTAAGCTGCAAAGAATAAACTGGTGCTCAGCAGCATCTGAAGCTGACATACTGCAGCTATGTGGGTGAGGCAAAGTGCTCTCTAGCAGGCGCCACCACTAAGAACACTGTCCGTGAGCCATGATTTACCTCCGCGTGCTACGAACACCGAGCCACGGTGCCTTGGAGCCCCAGCTGGCCCTCTGCGGGGCAGCACCCTTGCATCACATTCACATTCGCTAACTTCACGCTGTCATCTGGCACTGTGCCCAGTGCTTCGTACAGAGTGATTTAATTATCACTAAAATACCCCAAGGTCAGAGACTATTGTTATTTGTTTTACTTGATTTATACTGTTATTTCTATTTTATAAATGAGAAATTGAAGGCAGAGGAGTTACGATCTGCTGAATTTAGGGTTGAAGCCAGCCAGCTGGGCTCTAGAGCCCATGCTTTTAGCTACCAAGAGGACAACTGTGCTTCCATTTTGAGTAGGAACAAGAGAGTTAAAGATTAAAACTGAAAAGGTAACTAAAGAGTAAATCTAACTAGATAACAACTCAATACAAGATAGGCAGGGATTATGGCCTTTCAATGTAATTCACTAGAGTTTTGCCAGTTGGTTTTTAATTTAAAAAATTTAAAATTTTATAAAATCTGTTCCACACTTTTAAGAGTAAAATGGTCATGGGCCTGTATCTATGAAGTGTTTCTGTAAGTCTAAATGAAGCCTGGAGATTTAAATACACAGAATAAATAGGAAGACCTGCTGCTCTTAATCCTGGAAACTTGTATTCTTAGTTACAGGTAGGAAGGCTGGAATTTTCTTACCTGCACGGAAGCGTGCTTATTTTTAAGGCTTTGAAATTGACTCAGTCATTCTATCTGGTACTCAACCTTTCAGGAAAAGGAAGGCTTTTGCCTAGACATTTCTTTGGAGCATGAAGTCTATAAAGCACAATTAGTAAGATGAATGGCTTGTTACCTTCCGACATGAAATATGGAATCCGAAATCTTCCTTCCAAAACCCTCTGCCTCAATATTGGAAGAGTTGGTCCATCAAAAGGTAGTGCTCCACAGACAAGAACGTAAAGAACAACTCCCATGCTCTAGGAAGACAACAGTGCAGTCACTTTCCAGGGAGAGCTTCAAATATTTTTTATTTTCCTAAATATCCGATCCTGGGTGCTTAAAATTAAATGGACTGAAAATCCCAGTCCAGATTTATTATTTACTGAGTTTAGTAAAGTAAAAGCTCAAATCCTAATTACTACAATAAATATAAGAACTAAATGATCTGAATCTGATCATTTTTTTCTTAATGCTTAACTTTAAATGATTGCTGATATTAGGGCAAAACACCTGTCCCTAGAAATTCTTTCGTAGGGCTCCATTTCAATAAGCTCTGACTGGTTATAGTCCAATGGATGGGGAAGACATGGAGCGCTGTTTATGAGTCGAGTGCCAGGAGCTCTGAGGATGGGTCCAAGTGCCAGTTATTACCATTCTAGATGCATTTAACACGGCAAAGCAAAGCAATACCCAAATATCCAGCTGTGGTCCTTCATACTGTTGCCCTTCAAAGACTTCTGGGGCTGCATAAGGGGGGCTGCCACACCATGTTGCCAGCAGTTCACCATTTTTAAAGAAATTTCCAAAACCGAAATCTATTGGGATGGAAATAAATGTTACTTTCATCTATGCTCTCAAACTACACTGCATTTCTCTGTAATAAATTTTACACCATGCCACATTAACAGTGGGGACTGGGATGATGCCTATTTTGTGATGTTTCTCTAGCAATTAGCATAATGGCTATCAAGTAGTAGCCATTGATATCAATGGCTATCAAATATTCAACAAATACTACTGAATGGATACACACATGCATTGAGGTTTCCTTTCAAAGAGTGGATGAGAGATTGGAAAAAGATGTAAAACTATGAACTTTTAAGGCTAAGGGAGTATCTACTGGTGTGGACAACCACGTGAATTTGGTAATCACAGAATTCAATTATTTGATGGTTGATGAAGAAACAAATGAGTAAAACATAGATCAGGGGCTGGGTGCTCTTGAGAGCCATTACCCCAAGGTAGCAAGGTATATAAAATTAAAAATCATTATTTTTTATTTTTACAGTATAGGGGTTGAACCAGGATCTTGCATTGAGCCCTTTAATTTTATTTTAAAACGCAATCATGTAAGTTGCTAAGTTGCCCAGGCTGGGCTCCCACCCATGATCCTCCTCCCGCAGCCTCCCAAGTATGCCCCACTGGGCCTGGCCGATACAGTCTGTGAAGGCAAATGAACAGGGATCACCATGTAATGCAGTCTCATCCTGCTTTAGGCAGGCAGACATTCTTCTGAGCAGCACATCATTTACACAGGCACCTATCACTGCTGCCACTCCTTCACTCACTGTGGAACACAGAGGTGTTATACTGCAGCACAGTTCACAGCCTGCTCCTTATAGCCTTAGCTGTACTGCAGTATAGCTTACACGGCCAACTCGGAAAACACTGCACTCAAATGCCTTCAACATGAACAAAAAATTCAGTGAGCTTTGGTATAAATCCAAGTTTACTCTTTTGCTATAGCTTTATGCAGTCTCCGATTCTTACTGAGGAAACAAATTCCCATCAGTTGATAAGTCCTTCTCCTACTGTCTTATTTGTTACACATCGTCTTGGGAGTGTCTGGCAGGGCTGGTTTTCCACCCAGCTAGTATGATGCGACATGTGGGGTAGCTCTAAGATGACCTACCAGGGACCTGCATCTGCCTGGCGCTGGGACTCTGGTTCAGGCTTGGAGAGCCCCAGTCTCTATCTGTGAAGTGGCAACAACACACGACCTTCTCAGCAGGTTACTAGGGGGCTCCAACGTGTTAATGTAAAGTCATGCTGCGCTCACATACGGAGGCCAGGCGCACATCAGTACCTTGGGCCAAATATTCCTTCTGCTTGCTGACACCGAAAGTGGGGGCGAGAAGCTTCCGTGAAATGAGGGAAAACTAGAGCTGACTTTCGGATCCGCCACTTTCCAACTTCAGGTCTCCTAGGACAGTTACTTAACTTCCTCAGCGTGCATATCTTCACCTGTGGCTATAATCCACCCGTGCAGATAGGGTGCTGCCAGGATTAAACGTAAGATACCTGGAGCACAGATGTGAAATAACAAGGCTCTGCTGTGGAAGCATTATCATCAACTGCCTTTCAGAGATAGTGATCCTAAGAAGATACACAGGCGGGCTAGGGAAAGCGGAGGGGAGCTTGTGGCTGCTGAGATAAAGCAGGGCCTTGGGGGGGAGGGCTTCAGCCAGTCCCAATCTGGGGGGCAACACTGTGAAGTACAGGGCGAGGCCGCCCCTCCCAGAGACGTGTCTGTCCCTCACTGTGTAGCCTCAGTTCTGTGGTACACATCACCTTCCAGAGTGAGTGTCACCAAGACCTTAGCTTCTCTCTCTACCCTCTGTGAACAGCCACTCCTGTTACCTTATGAACCACAAGTGCACACAGAGGTACAGGTTTCCATTTTCTAAGAAATCACATTCCTAAGTGAGTCAACCACTATATGTCTTGATCTGGTTTAAAGAGGGAAAGGTTAATTTTACTCACTATGCGAGTCGTAAGAGGCTCTGGCGTGTCTGGGTATTCAGGAATAGGTACAGTCATGGCCAGACTGTAACTCACAACCACAGGATGAGACTTAGTATATGTAAATTGAATATATATATTATGGAAGATACCTGCCAAATGTCACTGTAAAATTTCAATGTCTCGAAGAAGCCTTATAGAACTACTTCATTCTTAACCTCCACACCCCAGCAAAACAAACTCAGAGGAGTGGCCGGAGCACAGAACTGTCCCCACGGCAGCCTGGCCACAGTGGTGGCGTGTGCTCTACTGGTGCGTCTCACAGCAAGGGAGCAGGAGCCATGAGAACCTGGCTGTGGTTGTGGAGTCCAGGCTCAGTCTTGGCTGTGCAACCAGAACAAAGAATGCTTCCTTCACTCAAGAGAAAAGCGGTGCTAAGCAGCCTTGTAGTTCTCTTTTCTTTATGTAACTGAGGAAAATAAAACTTGAGTCTGTAGGGACATTAAGGAAGTCCAGAAATCACCTAAGCTCACCAAGCGCTGGCAGTGTCACGTAAGTGGGAGTTGCTTATCACCTTGTCAGAGAGCTTCAAATACTTAGTCATCTCGCAGTGAAAAGGGTAAGGAAGACTCTGAAGTCAGGACAGCTGGGATCAAACCCTGCGTTTGATACTTACACATGTAATCTTGGGCAAATTACTTAACTTCTCCCAGTCTTGGTTTCCTCATTTGCAAAGGGAATGCAGTTTATAGATTCTAAGTATTGAAATAAGCAGAAAAATATATAATGCTATTGAAACATGGTAAGTGCTCAATAAGTGGGATCAACTGTTGATAGTCATTGCCAGTCTTACTGCATTTACCTGCCTTATCTTACAGGGGAGCTGTGGAACCCAGGAGTGCCGCATGGTTCATTCTCATCCTCTCTCCCTCTCTCTGGGAGGCTGGTTTCCAGATCCACAGATGCTTATATCCCTTATGTAACAGGGGCACCACTCTGCCTCCCCCATCGAGCCCAGAGCCTGCATGTGCTCTGCCCCCTACCTCTCCAGCCCCACTGCGAGTTCTTCTCTTCTCTGAAAGTGCTTTAATAGGTGCACACCACAAAGAACACTGTATCTCCTCCTCTTGTTCTCTTTCAGTACTGGAGATGGAACCCAGGTGTGCTGTGCTCTGGTGCTACATGGACTCATTAATTTGTCTTGAACTTGTGATCCTCCTGCCTTAGCCTCCCAAGTAGTTGGGATTACAGGTGTGCATAATGCCCCACAAGATTTTTTCCTAAGAATTCTGAGAGGATGTCTTATTTTAGAGGGAAGTGAAGAGAGAGTGTTAGATGCCTTGCCGGAGAACACACTGGTAGTCACTACACTGCAGCGCTGGGACAGAAAGTACTCAGACTACAAAGCCCTCCCTGTGAGCCACCACCTTGAAGTGCTTCCCCAGCACAGTGATAAGCAGCTATTTTTGAGCAAGTTAATAACTGGCAGGGTTAAAAAGTGGCAACAGAAAGACACCTAAAAGTAAAAGCCTTCATAGGAATCTGGGTATTTTTCTTTATTTAGTCTGTAGTTTTCTGCCAAATGTATATGGCTAAATAAGGGGAGAGGAAGGAGGATGAAAGGTGAAAATTCAGGATTTGTTTCCTGTCACCATGTATCAAAAGGGAATGGGCTACGTGGGTGTCCTTTAGTTTCCACAAGAGACTGGGTCAAGAGCCACAGGTGCTTATATCCCTAAGGAACAGCGTTACACTTGCATACGACACGCATACATCCTCCCGTATACTTTAAAGCATCTCTAGGTTACATACAGTACCTAACACAGTGTAAAAGAAAAAAGTCTGTACAATTTCAGTATACACACAACTATACACCAGGACTAAATCATCAGCAAAGGTAAGGTTTCTGTTTTCCAAGTATCTTCCATCCATGCTTGGTTGAATCCCAGCATGCAGAATCCACAGACATAGCAAGCTGCCTGTATTTGCATTTCACCATACTGACCAAATTCATTCCTTCCTTCATTAAATGCGGTATTTGGGTGTCACACATGTGTTAATCACTGCAGAAACACAGAAGAGAACCTTACAACACAGAACAAAAACAGCCCTCATGCCATTATCTGACTTTTGGACAGCATTATGGAAACAATCACTTGGACATTCCTTTGTACCAGACATAGACCTGCCTGGCCATGCTGGAAACGAAGTAACTTCTGGGTTTAATTCTCTCATCTGCAAGTTACTACCTAAACACACGGCTACTATGTACACATACTGCCTGCAATTTCTCTGCTGTAAAACCCATGCCATGCAACGTTAGGTCCGTTTTACATTTTTTCACTTTTCATTTGGAAATACTTTTTACAGAAGTTTAAGTGAGAATTCCCTCTCTCGCCAAGCTTCAGTTAATGTTAACATTCCCTATAACTACAGTAGAATGATCAAACTGAGAAAGTAACATGGATTTAATACTATTACTAAGCCACAAACTACACTAGAGTTTCATCAGGTTCTCATCCCTTTTCAGGATTCTACAATGCATTTAGCTTCATGCCTATTTGGTCTTCTCTAATTTGTTATAATTCCTCAGCTTTTCCCTTGTTTTTCATGATTCTGAAAAGAATTAATCATGTATTTTATAGTACATGCAATTGAGTCTGTCTGATGACTTGTGATGACTACAGTAAGGCCTAAGAACTCTGGTAAATGCAACACAGTGGCAGTGTGCTTATCGCAGTGCATCACAAAAGGGAACACGTGATGCTAGGTCTCATTACAGCTGAGGCCTGGCTCTGACCACGTGAGGAGGGGGATGGCTGTTCCCCGCCTCCTCTGTTTACCTACTGGTTTCAGCATTTGATGGTAGAAGTTGATTATATCAATTATTGCTTTGTGTTCTAACTGTGAGTTTTCATTTTCCTTATTCTGTGTATACTTTTATAATACAAGTCTGCATTGTGGAATGATCACATCTTGCTAATTAGCATATCATCTATTAATTTTAACTCTTCTCGCAGGAAGAGCTGTCCCATCCTCTATTTTATTTACGTAATCATTTACCTATTTTGTT